CCCCAAAACCCCAAAACCCCAAAACCCCAAAACCCCAAATGGAATTTTAGGGAGTGAAAATTTAAATTAATATTAATTTGGAACAAGATGGATGAAAAAGAGCCTAAGAAAAAAGTAAACAAGAGCTTAAATTCTTTAACTTAGATGATCAAAATCCTTGAAAACTCTTATCCAGATCAGTTTGACTATACTAACATTTTATGTAGCTAGATATCTACAATTAGAGATTTTAGACAGCAAAAATAAATTAGGGTGGTTAATTTTAAGCATGTTTTGCTCAACCCCAAATTCTAATATGTCTTGCATAAAATAGATATTTACAATATTCAAAAGCTCACTGATTATTTAGATCTCTGATATAAACAAGTCATATCCAGATTATTTGAGTATGACAAGCAAGCATGGAATTAGCATCAAAGAAATAGAACAACTTGATATTTCTACCAACAAACTACTTGAAAGCTTTAAAACAATATGCTCAAACCCTCAGCTAAAATATCAGAAAATCTTCTGAATCCAAAGAAAAAGCATCCAAAACTCTCATAAGGAGGAGACTAAAACTCCACAAAAGATTTTGGAAAAAGTAAAACATATTAAGCACGGGAATGGTCTGCCTGGCACTAAGAATACTCTAAAAAGAATGTCTACAAGAAGTCTTAATACTGTGACTAAGCCACAAGCGATAGAGATTGAAAGCATTGGCAGAAGAGATGTGGTCTACAAATCAGCCCTCAGGAAGCTCAGAAGGTTCTTTAAGAACATCTTCAAAACCCAAAACTTGGATATTGTCGGCAGAAGGTACATTAACTGTAGAATCGGATATTTGTATCAAAAGATGTACCAAACCTTGACTACTGTTATCCCAGAGGGCTACATTACAGATGAATTGGTATACTTTACCATGGGAATAGCAGGAATTAGAAAGCCATCTGAGCTTCCTTGCAGTAATCAGATACGTCAAGAAATCAAAGCAATAATGTCTTGTGCAAGTACTTTCTCACAGAAAAAGTATCAGAGATGACTTCGCTCAGAAAGCTTTCAAACATTGATCCAAAATGCTTCAGAGACTCAAGGAGCTTCATGGGCTAGAGAAGTTCTTGATGGAATGGGTTTATATTAAGTTAGCATCTATCTTGTAAAGAATAACACCATAAGAAAACGACCTGAAGCCTTATTAATAGATCCTTGATAAACTTTACCACCAAATCCTGTCTAACTTGTCAACTTCTCAATATAGCATGCTTATAATAACAAAGAATTTAAAGCGGAAAATAGGTTTATGCAATAGAGTCTTACCTGCATTAGAGTTCTTAGTTACTCTGTTGCAATTTTTGTTAATATACCATAAAAAGAATATTAGCAATATTCATATTATGCAGATATAGAAAGATTACGATTTCCCTAGGATTGGTCTAAAAGGTTATTTTTAGAAGTAGATTGTTCTGTTATTAAAAATGAAAATTCACTGTAAAACTATTGCATTTGGAGTGCAAATATATCCATTGGCAACAGTAATTTAATTTATGCAATGTTATGATTATCACATATTTTGGGAATTACTAGATTTATTTGAGTTTATTATCGCTCAAATTCAAAAATTCAAGTGACTAAATTCTCGAAAGAACCAATCGAAAGTGACAGAAAATGTCATCGTTGCTCAGAACTTCAAATCCGTGCTGAAAAGATTTGGAATGTTCGACATAAATAGTTTACTTTGTTTAATAAATTTAATGGTTATTCCTTTCTCAATTTAGTTATCTAAAGCTAGCTTAATGAATTTAATCTAATGAAGTGTCGGGTTGACTTATCACAAAAATGAGATTTTGTTAATTTTAGTTCTTATGATAGCTTATAGATGAATTAGTTATTCCAGTTTAAGTTTTTTGAAATTGATCAGCTTCATTGGAAATTTGAATTGAGACAAATAGAAGAATTTATTAGTAGTAATAATGCACTTATTTATTATTTGGTTGTAAATATTTCTATTGTAAGCTCTGCTTAAAAATAACCTGAAGATGTATTTTACTGATGAAAGCTTTACGATACAACTTAGCTTGAGAGGATTTGGTTCAGAGGCATCAGCTATTAAAAACAATGAATAATTAAAATAGAGCAGTTCTTTTCCAAAAAATTTACCATAATAAATCTTGAGCAAAAATATCAAGATATTTAATTGCTCTAGAAATATTTTTGCTCAATTAAGTTATTCTAAACTTTGCTAATGCAAGTAATTAGAGGTCAGAGAGCAAAGTTCTAATTAACCATACGCTCTCTCTAATCTCCAAAATATCTCTCTTATTATTCTCGCAATCTTCTCTTCTCCAGATTATATAATTTACACATTTTGGTGAAATGCTAAATTTTTTTAAAGTAATACAACCCTTGATGCCAAAAAGTGATTAAAGTAGTCGATGGTCTTATCAATTATCTCTAACGACCTTGGTTGAGCTTCACTCATGATCTTAATATCTGAATGAAATCGGGTTATAAAATTAAGGTTGCATTTAAATTAGTAATCACACGACTTCTTGCGAGTAAATTTTCCAGAATAGTCACTAAGCAAGTCTAATTCTGGAAGGAACTCCTAGTTCTATTCTTAGCGTTCCTGACTGCAGGTTATAAGAATGATCGAAAATAACTAATCATTGCTCGATAGCTTCTGAAGAACTCTAAGCAAGATATTTGTATATTTAGCACAAAATTGCCGTTATCGGCTAACAGCTCTGATTACCAATTTATGTAATATGTGTTTCGTTTAAAAACTTGGATGTCTTCAAGTTATTTGGAAAGAAAATGTAGAGATGTCAAAGAACTTATGTAATTTAAGAACTTGAGAATATGCTTAATATTTTTAGACAAGATTTAAGCCTCTATTAATCCCAAAAGAGAGTTTCTTTTTATAAAACAGACATGCATGAACATCTTAATTCCCATATCAATTCCTAAATTTGCATATGGGGTTTTGGGGTTTTGGGGTTTTGGGGTTTTGGGGTTTTGGGGTTTTGGGG